AAAGCCCAGTGAAGCCCATGGGAATCTTTCCATTTACTTCTCCGGGATTTGGATCAGGAAAGGACCAGTGATGTGGTTGGTCCTAAATCCTGGATAATGCATGGAAGGCAAAGGGGCGCCGAAGTGTTGCGTTCAGTTATGATACCTTAGATCAGTGCGTCTCAGTCTCAGATCTTTATTGCTGACTAAGTCCACCCCCATCTTAAGGGCACTAAACCATAAACTGTTGTATCAGAGGCCTGGTATGAGTCCTAAGGCCTGAACTAAAGTAACTGTCAAGACTTTAATATAAAGCAAAGTTAAGCTCTGAGCAAGAGGCAGGCTCTGCTCAGAGTCTGGCAAGGAGAGGGCTGATGTTGCAAAAACGTACATACCTAAAAGGTACTGGACACTAGAGATATAAACATATGCTAGGATGGTACCAGAACACTGATACTAGCACATTCCACTCAGATAACAAGGAACATGCTGACCCATCCTAAAGACAGGGCAAAAGGGTAATCTGATGGATGGGGTTGTTTTGATCGAACCAACATGTACAAGGTAATAGGCGGCACCTTAATATGTAGAGGGGTTGTATCTCAATACGTCAGGAGTGAGGTGTAACTTGTTTGTACCTGTGTATAAGAATGCACCCTGAGGGGTTGTCTTTGTCTGGCCTAGGGGGCAGTGGTAAATCCGGCCACTGACTGAGCCGGTCCATTGTCAGGGAGCACATATGTACTAGCAGAAGTGTAGACATCTGATCTGGGGAGCTAGAGATTGTGTTTCATTTGGCAATAAACCTGGCCGGGTGCCTTCGTACCTTATTGGAGTCTGTGGTCCTTGGGGTTTCTCTCAGGGTCTGCTGTGCCAGCGATCTGCGCAGAGCCGGGGCAGCACACAGAGGGAACACACGTGCGCAGCCGACTGTTATCAACGTTGGATAGAGCAGAACACCACACTGGTGATGTTTGAGGACACTCCTATTAAAATCAATGGAAGGACTCTGGAGAAGGTGGCCACTGGCATGTCCCCAAAACATGGGATATTCTGGTACTTCCAGGAATGGCATGGGCCCACCTGTGTGGCTCCGCCCAAGCCAGGGTGACCTTGCATGCATAGTGCAAGATACCATTCTGAAGCACATGCCGCCTCCAGCATGACCTCACATGCACTATGCAGGGGTGGGGTGGCATGCTCTTCAAAATGGGGTCCTCCATCCCATGCAGCGTGATATTGCACAAAACCACATCCAGTTTTATATCTGTACCGGACAGGGGTCAAACCTTGCAAAAACAGGACTGTCTGGCTTAAAACCAGGTGAAATGCATACCTAACTCTGGGCTGAATCCTCAGCACATTAAATCAGTGTAGCTCCATTGACATTAATGGCTGATTTACACCAGCTGAGAATCTAGCCCTTTAGCTTCAAAGGGAGTCGCAGGGGGCCCTCAATCTCTCTGTGGTTCCCGCTCTTTTGTCTAAAGCTCAAACTTCTCCTTACTTCCAAAGCGATCCACAGTTTGAACCCTGCCTGTGTCTTTGCATCATCCCTCCCCACACTCACCCAGCCCCCATGCTCTCTGAGCTCCTGACTGCCCCCTTTGTCTGCCTCACCCACACCACTTCCTTTGTGCCAGCCACTCGGAACAACACCATTAAAATACTCCATGCCCCAGCGCTCACAATTCATCTACCACCAACCCAGTTCTTCTGTGAAAGGTTCTAGCAGCAGAACACTCAGACTGTCGTTCAGCTTTGGGTGCAAAATAATACAATACACAATAGAAGGAAACACCCCACTCATGCCTCCATATGAATTCCCTTCAGCTGGGAGCCTGTTGTCTCTTGGGCATGGTCCACTGATTGCATAGCTCCATATACACTTATAGTGCTACATAACCAAGTCTGTATTCTGCACATACATAACTTACTTAAAAGTCTTGGGCCAAATTAAAAAAATTGGCCACTATAACTGCACCTGCCCCCGCACCCTCCTAAAACGTATGCCTGTTGATGAACATTTGTACGTGCAAACAGATAATTGCACACATGGGCCTATTTGCACATGCAGATTAAGGTTTTTATATGTGCAAAAGTCATATGCATATTTTGCTCTCACAATATGGGCAGGTAAAGTTTTGAAAATGTCACATTTTTCTGTTCAGATCCATCCCCTCTGCAACATGTGTGAGTCTCATTCCAATGTATCCTTACTGGGTGCTTTTTTCATTGCATTTCAATCCCTGAGACTATACACTCGCTGGGGCTTGGACCTTGTCTCAGTTGTCGGCAGTGCACCAATCACCCCACCAGTGCTGTGGAAAGAACTAGAGCTGGTGGAAGAGTCTGGATTTTTTTTTGTGGGGAAAAAAACTTCTGCAAAACTTTGAATGTTTTGTAAATTTTTAACCAGCTCTATAAATAATAATAATAGTCAAACAGGTCAGCTTTTTGCTATAGGCTGTGTCCTCTGTTGTTGGATTGTCTCCCTGGAAATGCTTTTTTAAAAATAATTTTATAATCAGTCATATTTTAATTGCACAGTTGCCCTTTTCATAATTATCTGTTATTATTTTAACAATCTAATGTATCGTATGGTCCCACTGAAGGGATGATGTCACATTTAGTGGGGTAGTACTAGTAAATTAAGGAAGTAAATACTCATCACCTGCACACTCCAAGGAGCAGTGCTGTGCTAGTCACAGTCCACATCTGGAAACGGAACTATGAAGGTTCTGCCAGAAAGATGTTTTTTCTCAGTTGCATTGATACCAATGAGGAGGTTGTGCCGTATCTGGAAGGAGTGTGAAGGCTAACATGAGTGAGCACAGTACTCACATGATCTGCAAGTGTGTGCTTTGCTCTGTACAAGTAAAGGGGCCGGATTCTCTACTGATGGAAATTGTTGCTCAGTTGACGTCAATGGACCAATTTGCACCAGCTGAGGATCTGGCCCAAAGTAGCTAGTAAGCCTGGCATGTGTCCCGTGACTGACTGCCAAAAGTAGAGGTGGATTGACAAACTTCACCAAGATAACGATTAGAATGTGTTTCTCATTCATCTCTAAGTTAGATGACACTTAGCACTTTGCAGAGGAGAACTGGGGAGGCAGGGAGGAGATCTGGATTGGGCTTACTGTGTGGAAAACAAACAAGACAAAACCAGAGTTCCCAAATATACAGCTTTGTTTACTCATTACAGAAAGATGCCAAACCATCCAAAAAGGTCACCAATACTCCAATCTAATAACTTCAAGGCACTGTGGTCTAATGGAAAGAGCACTGGACAGGAACTCAGGAGACCTGACTTCTATTCCTGGCTCTGCCCCTGCCTGCTGGGTGACCCTTGGCAAGTCACTGCCCCACTCGGTGCCTCAGTTTCCCCATCATTAAAATGGGGATAATACTGTTGACTTCCTTTGAGAAGTACTTTGAGATCTATGGATGAAAAGCTATATACAAGAGCTAAGTATTATTATTACTTTAAAATGCTAGTTACACTGTTCAGTTTTGCATGAATTGAGACAACGTCAACAACAATTCAAAAGATTCTAAAAAATAACAATTTCTCTCAGGCTATTTCAAGTCAGTGGCAAAAGTGCCGTTAACGTTAGTGGAACATGATCAGGCCCTTAACATAAACCAGACCTCTGATAGCCATTTTTTTTAAAAAGGCATCTTAGAATTCCAGAAATGTTACTGTTACAATGAATACGGCCCTACTTGAATCGTGGCATAAGTGTCAAAAATTCGGCTGAGTTGCAGACAAGCCATGGAAAATTGCAGAAAAGTAATAATGGACCTTATTATTTGCGGTCATAAAGTCAATTATTACTTTTCCACAATTTTCCGCTATCGGCCTCCCAGGGTAGCCAGGGCTCCCACTGTCAGCCCATGCAGAGTGGAGTTCCCGTTGTCAAAATAGCGGTGAGTGCCTAATATTGCCGAATCTGCAATTTCCACAATATCGCAAGTTAAGTACGGCCTTCACAATTACATTAAAGCTACTGTTAAACCTTAAGGAACAAAGCTTTCTGCCACTGTCCCAATACATATAGAAAAAAGACAATCCAATCTCAGTCCTCTGCCCCAGAAATCAAGATTCAGGTCTGTTTCTCTTGGTTGAGATCAGCTTTATGGCAGAAGATTCCAATTCATAACCCGGACAGATGTGCTGACTTTTTGGAAGTTGGCTAATCATTAGATTCTTCCTTAATTTAAGTGGTTGTTGGCTGCAATTCAGTAATAATTTATTCTTGTCCTTTGGTGTGCAGTATAAGGGGAACTCAACCTTCTCATTAGTTTGAAAGCTCTTGCCTAAAAAACTGACTTCCAGTACATGCTCAGTTTAATATAAACTTTAAAATGTGAATCAAAGATGATTTATACATTGCTCAAATTCCAAAGTAGAGCTGTGCGAGATCTACAAAAATAGAACATGTCAATATAATGTAGCCAATGGAGGTTTGTGTCTCGAAGACAGAATGAAACGTGTTTCCAATTTACTAGTATATCAGTCATCTTAATTCAAGAGGCTTTGTGTAATCTAATGAAGGTTTCTCTTTAATGAGGGATTAGAGGCATTGTAGATTTATCCAAATTTTGCAGCTTGAGAATATGAGCATCTGGGTCTAGTTTTACTTCTCAAAGTATGCGGGTGGAAAGCTACTGGAGCAGAGATTGCCTGTAATATCCAGCCTCAGAATGTGCAAATGCCCAGCAGGCATAGAGCTGGCTCCTAGCTTCCCTCCACAAAGCAGGACAGGGACAGAGACTGCAATGAACTTTGGGAATTACCGGTTGGTGGATGATCCCTTGCAAAGCATAGGCAGCAGGCACAGTTTAAAGTCTCACCCCCAGGCTGTTCTAATCTGCTGCTAGGGCTGCGTCCAGGCAGAGAATCACAGCTCTGTAACTGGCTTCCTGTCAGACCTACTGCATCCAGCAGAATATCTGACCCATTATTTCCTACCCAAGTGCAGATGTGCCATTGACACTGGTGGGATCTTGGGGTACCTGCTGCAGGGAGAAAGGAAGACAGGAACTGGGATCCACCCATCAGAAATCAGAGATGAATTTTGCCCTCCTTGTTGTCCAATCATCAACAGAGCTGTATGAAAAAACTAAATTAGTGAGTTATGGCCCAATGCAATCCCCATTACAGTCAATGGAGAGACAGGTGTTCACTCCAGCCCTTAGAAGGTAGTTGTAGCATGTTTAGATGCATGCCTTCAGGTTGTCTGCCTTCCAAAGGCTCCCACAGAGCATACAATAAATACTATCAAATCACACAGGTTATTCTGAATTCTTGATGATGGGAACATGGTTTTTATAATCCACCCATATCAATGCCAATCATTCATACTTCAGCAGAGACACTTGATGTGATTGTCTTTGTAGCTGAGCCAGCTATCAGTATGGGCTTCGTGTACAGTCCTAGAAGCTGATAAATAACCATCATGTTTTATCAGAACTATGCATGGTTGTCACATGCTGGGATGCAATTCAGACCAGTAAGGGGCTGCGTCACCATTTGCCCTGTAACCTTGCCATCACAGCCAGCCTACAAGCATGCAGGTCATGCCCTGAGTGTTTTTATACTAGACAGCCCTGGTTCAGCAGCTCTGACCCCAGCAGCCTGTCTACAGCCCCACTCTGGCTTCCACCAGCGTGTGTTACGACCAGCCAGGTGACCCCAACACGCCCAGTCCTGGATTTCCCCAAAACAAGTGCCCTGGAGTGTCCAGCTCCCACCTGGACCTCAGAGAAATAATAAGGTTTGTTGCTCCTTGTAACATGGTGCTGGCCTAAGAGGCACTGAACCAGCCCCTGGTAGCTCAGAACCTGCTAGCATAGCTCCCATAAAGGAGAACTGACTGGAGCTGGCAGGGTGTGGCTCATTAAAGGAGCCTGAGAGCAATCACCTGTGAGCCTGCTGAGAGGAAGGCCTATAAAGCTAGCAGGAAGGAAGTAGGAGGGGGGAACAGGAAAGTGAAGAGTGAGGCCTGTTGCTCCCAGCTAGCTGTAAGAGCAAGCTGTTCCCTAAGGGGCTACCTGACTGATATTGAACTGTATATAGCTGTATATATGTGCTGGTGGGAAAATACAGGGAAATAAAAGGGCACTGGTGTGTGAAAGAGTGGTCTCCAGTGAATTTGTACTGCGAGCAACGAAGTGCTCATCTACACTCCTTTAGAGAGACCAAACACATCACAGGTTATTAACTTACCAGGGGAGAAATACCCCCTTCCCTTTGTGATGTTATTGATATGAACTATGATGGCATCAATCATTGTGGCAACTAAAGTCCTGTAGTGGCACCAAATCTTGTACAAAGGAGGTCAAGTAAGATGTATATGGAAAGGTTATGATTTGCTGGTTATGATTATGCTATCTGTGTGCACGTATCATTTTTGTATTTAAAGTTATAAGTATTGGCTCTATATTGTCTGTGTTTCAAACTTATGCTATGCTTCTGGGTGACATCCCAGACAATTTGGCATCAGCACTGCCTAGCCTGCTTCATGGCCCATTAAGGACCATCAGCTATACAATTGACCCATTGAGAGAAGGCAGATACACCTTGTGACTCAGCAAGGGACATGCCTAGGGACAGAACTCTAAGGTTTTTCCATGCCATGTGCTGGGTAGCTTGTGTTTGGAACAAAGGAAGCACAAGTCGCATGGCAAGGGACTATAAAAGGCAGCTGCACCATTTCCATTCTGTCTTCAATCCTGCTTCTTACCTCTGGAGGAACTTTGCTACA